TTCGAACCTCATCCCAATCAAAGTTGGCTTAATTAGTACTCTATTTTACTCTTATTAAATTAATTAAAAATTATAATTTAGTAGCTACAACAAAAAAATAATACATATCATTTTTAATTTAGAATTATGTGTCTACAACGCCTTTATTCAAAAAAAAAAATTATTCATTATCAATAAATTAAATAAGAGAAATAATTTCATTAGTTATATTGTATTTATTTTTCTCCAATATAAAAATTCTTTATATTCAAATTCATCAATTGATTATATTTGCTACATTGTCCCTACAATGTCTTTATTAAAAAATAATTCGTTATTAATAAATTAATTAAGAGAAATAATTTTATTAGTTATATTGTCTTTATATTTCTCCAATGTAAAAATTCTTTACATTCAAATTCATCAATTGATTATATTCACACATTGTCTATTACCTTTTTTTGTGCACTATTTTTTAAATTAAATATCAAAGTTATAATACAAAATAATGCTATATATTTATTTACCAAGTATTTTATTAATACCATGAAAAAAATAAAAAAAATATAATTAATAAAGCTAATCATATTAATTACTTGAAGGATTTGTTGACAAAGAGACTATTCAAATCACACAATAAATTGAACTGAGAACAACTTCGCAATATCCTTGTTTGACAATCAGCAGTTAGCGGTTAGCGTTAGCGGATTATATTAGCGAATTTGACCAGCGAATTATATCAATGGTTGGTAAAAAGATATTTGAAAAAATTAGTTGTTTAGATTAACATTTAAAATGAGCTAAGGGTATGATGATATAATAATAATAATAATAATAATAATAATAATAATAATAATAATAATAATAATAATAATAATAATAATAATAATAATAATAATAATAATAATTGTTTTAAAAAAATAAAAAAATAAAAAATATAATTAAGTCAATCATATTAACTACTTGGGAGATTTATTGACAAAAAGAGTATTCAAATCACACAACAAATTGAAGTGGGAACTATCTCGCAATGTCCTTGTTTGGCAATCAGTAGTTAGCTCTTCAATATTAGTATATACAGAGTATTTAATAATTTACGCCTTAATTTTTATTTTCTCTCCCTTATATCCTGTATTTGGTTTCAACCATACCTTTACAATTATTTTATTGACAACTATAATCAATTTTGACTATATTATCTTGCATTTGTAAACTTAGAATTGCCTATTTAAATACACAAATTTAACATCCAATTATCTATGCATGAACAATTCCAATATAATCTTGCATTGATATACTTTAAAATACTTATTTAAAAAAATATTGGGCATTATCTCAATCGCGCAATGCGCGTAAAAAACTAGTTATTATATATACTAATAAGAGCCCAAGAGAGTTAGGCCTATAATGCGTAGAAAAAATGGCGGTCAATTTTTTTAATCAAATGAATGGCTTAGATTGATCAGATTTTAATTTTTCCTTAAGATTTCCTAATTTATCCTTAATGAATATGATTATCCGTTAACTTTTCCGTTAAATATTATCTTTTCCGTTAATTTCTGTTAGTTCACCATTAACTTACTCATTGATAATAAGTAAGGTCTTAGGTTCGAACCTCATCCCAATCAAAGTTGGCATAATTAGTACTCTATTTTACTCTTATTAAATTAAATAATAATTTAGTAGCTATAACAATATATATATATATATATATATATATATATATATATATATATATATATATATATATATATATATATATATATATATATGCATTTCTTTAATTTAGAATTATGTGTCTACAATGTCTTTATTAAAAAAAAATATTCATTATCAATAAATTAAATAAGAGAAATAATAATAATAATAATAATAATAATAATAATAATAATAATAATAATAATTGTTTTTAAAAAATAATAAAAAATAATTAATCCAATCATATTAACTACTTGGGATTTATTGACAAAAAGAGTATTCAAATCACACAACAATTTGAAGTGGGAAACTATCTCGCAATGTCCTTGTTTGGCAATCGACAGTTAACTCTTCAATATTAGTATATATTTAATATTTTATGCGCTAATTTTTATTTGCTCTCCCTTATGTCCCGTATTTGGTTTCAACCATACCTATACAATTATTTTATTGACAATTATAATCAATCTTGACTATATTATCTTGCATTTGTAAACTTAGAATTGCCTATTTAAATACGCAAATTTAACATTCAATTCTCTATGCATGAACAATTCCAATATAATCTTACATTGATATACTTTAAAGTACTTAATTAAAAATAAAACATTGGGCATTATCCCATTCGGGCAATGCACGTAAAAAACTAGTTTATATATAATCCTCCTATTTCATTTTTTTGCTCAAACAATTAATTAAATATTCTATTGGTAATACCGTGTAGAACAGATATTAATTAGGTAATAACATAATAGCATAATGGGTAATAATATGTGATGGGGTGTGAACCCCATGGGCTCGGGGCCCAAGAAGAAAAGAGATCAAGCCCAAGAAGAAGAAGAGAAGCCCAAAAGGAAAATGGAGTAAGCCTAAAAGAGATACGAGCCAAACCGAGGAGTCCGCTCGACCCGGGAGTCGGGGCGAGTATGGGATCGGCACGGGTAGAAGGTCGGCCTAAAACTAGCCGTTAACTCATATTAATCTCCTATTTATTACCCTATCTACCTACCACATTACTATCCTATCACTACCCAATTTAATATCCCTAACCCCCCAAAGTAAATATCCTATTAAACTACCTCATCCTAACCCCCCAACTTAATACCCATAATTCCTACTAAATACCCCCCAACGTCTTTAATTTCCTTGAGCTATAAAAGGAGGAAAGCAGCAAGATCAAAGGGGGGGCTTCATCATGGAAAAGACACTACGCCACATCACAAAACAAATAATACTCCTCCCACGCCACTCATTCATCTACATGTGAGAGGACTCTCCCAAGTACTATCCAACCACTCACTATTCTTTCATCTTCAAGAAAACTCCATCACTCTCCCAAAGAGGATGCACTCTTCCACAACCACTCTCCACTCATCCAAGCAAGAAGGCCACATGAAGAAGACTCCATATGAGAAGACTCCACCACCATCCCACCAAGAAGCATACTCCATCTCTCGGTATCCCAGATTACTTTATTCTTACACAATGTCTCTATATACAAAATAGCCATACAACATGTACAAAGACACCTACAAAATACATAGTGGAGTTATGCTTGGCACCGCCCAAAAAGGCCCGTGGTTTTCCTTTCGGTTTCCACGTACAAAAGCATTGAGTTATATTTGTTTCTACTTATTTTTCTATAAGCCGCATGTGAAAGGTGAATCCACCGACCAAGGTTGTGTTGGACCTCCCTGGACCCAAAAACCCTAAAACCAACAATATGTATGATATTTTATAATTAATTGGTAATAAGCATATTCAGGCAACTACGCGAATAAGCATATAGATTTTATATTTAAAAATTTAAATTTCTGTGTTTTGTTTAAATTGAAATATTTAATGGTTTTACATTAATTTGTATATTCATTTGTTTTATTCGTTTATTCATACCATGTTCATAGGTGAAATTATAGTATTTAAAAGAATATTTGAAAAATAATTATTAACTGAGAATAAAAATGGCATAGAATTTAGGCTAATTAAAATAAGAAATAACTATTAATAATTAACTGAAAATTAAAAATGCTTCGAAATTGACTCAAATGCAAAAATTGAAATCAATATTAATACTTGATTAAAAAATAAAAATAAAATGAATATTGATGGGGTATGAACCCCGGCCCAAGAGGGATAGAGAAAAACCAAAAATAATGGAGAAGCCCAGAGGAAAATAAGGAAGCCCAAGAAGAATGAAATACGGCCCAAGGAGTGGGAGTCCGTGAAGTAGCAAGGCCCTAAGGAGACTCGGACTGAGTCCGGGAGTCGGGCCGACTCTAAGGTCGGGACGAGGACTCGGCCAGGAGGGCAGAGAGCCGTTGGAAGACATTAAAGAGGGCATTGAAGAGCCCAGCCAAGGAGCCGTTGGGAGGCCCAGTAACGGCAGCCCAACGGCCCTGCGATATAATTAGCATTCACGACCCCTTAATGTACTTAAAAACCGGATTAAAGGAGGGCCTACTATATAAAGGCCCCTCCAAAGATGTAAAAAGGAGGTGAGTCCATGCCCAGAGAATAGAAGAACACCTTTGCTACTTTCATTCACTCATTTCTATTTTTCTAGCTTTATTGAAAGGTGAATCCACCAGCCAAGGTTGTGTTGGACCTCCCTGGGCCCAAAAACCCTAAAACCAACACTGGCGCCATCCGTGGGGATCAAAACAATGAGTCACGTCCACTCTTGAGCATCGGAATTCACAGAGAAAGAGAGACGAGCGAGCGAGAGGATGTCTGAAGGACGAAGTCGTGCCTCCAACCGTAACCGCGAGCCGGAAGCCGACTTAAGAGATCGGTTGAACCATCGAAATTCGCAAAGTCAGGAAAATGATTCGCCACCCCGAAACCAACCCCCGCCAATGATACCTCTCACCCCTGAGCAGATTCGGGCCATTGGACGAGCGATCGCTACTGAGAACCGGGAAAGAGGAGAACTGTCGACTTCACGACCACCGCCACGCGACCAGCAAATACACCAAAGGACGGATGGAGACAGGCGAGGAGATCGACGAGTAGAGGATCCGCCGACGCGGTCAGTCCATTCGAGGTTAGGCCCGAATGCGACGCGCCAATTGGCGAGAGAATGATTGGGGGAAAGAGAGCCCAGCCGCGCACCGGCAAACCAATGAAATCGAGAGGTCACCCGAGAGAAAACCCGCACCAGGAAGACTCGAACTCGGGCACGACAGACCGAGCGACCTACTCGCAATGAAGAGCGGCAGGCCGAGTCACAGGTAGGAGAAAGTACCGAGTCCACAGGAAATCACACCCGAAGCGCCGAAGATGTGGCCCACTTGGCCCAAGAGCTACGGAATTTGAAGGAGCAAATGGAAGGTCGAACCAAGTCCCCAGGTCGGACGTTGCTCACCGCCTTGCCCTTCTCGGCCGAGATTATGGCATACAAGATACCCGGCGACTTTAAGTTCCCGGAACAGGCCACCTTCGACGGATCCGGCGACCCGCGCGAACATCTTTTGAGTTACCAAGCCAAAATGCAAGTGCTGGGGGTTCGGGATCCCGTCATGTGTCGCGCTTTCCTGCCAACGCTAAAGGGCTTGGCGCAAAGATGGCTCATGGCCTTGCCCCCAGGCTCAATTCGCAGCTTCGAAGAGTTGGCCGATCGTTTCATGAGTCATTATGCGGCTAACGTCAAACCGCAAAAAGATTTAACATATCTGGGAGATATTCGTCAAGAGGAGGGCGAATCTCTCAAAACTTACCTGGCCCGATGGCAAAAAGAGATTCAGTCCATCGAAGAGGTAGAGGACCAGACTGCCCTCACCTTCTTCATCGAGTCGCTGCGATCCGGCCAACTTTATCGCGACCTTCGGGACAACCGGCCCGCCACCTATGCGGAGGCTATTCACCTTGCCAACAAGCGAGCCAATACGGAACAAGCCGTAAAACATAAACGACAACGTGAAGTCGGAGGATCCTCCGGGGGGAAACAACCCCGGGCGGAGGTACGGGAAAGACGTCCAGATCCAGCCCAGCGCACATACGATAGGCCTAGCATCCAGCCTTATAGGCCGACCCCACAGCACCCGGTGCACGAGGTGCAAGCGGTCGCGCCGCCTCCGCCTCCTCCGACCAAGGAGCGTGCAGTGAATGAAGACACGGGTAAGACGTCTATGTATTGTCGTTACCACAAGTCATACACCCACAACTCGGAAGAATGTTATTACTTGAAAAAGATTATGGAGGGGATCATCCAGCAAGGGACGCCGCCTCCCAATCAGTGGCGAAGGAGATCTGCGACCCGGGAGGACAACGACCCCTCGGAGGCGGTCGAAGGCAACCGCGGTAAGCAGCCGGAGACCGATGAAGGTGAAGCCCAGTGGAGACAAAAGCCGGTTATCAACATGATAGTTGGCGAACCTGAAGGAGGCGACTCTGCCAACACTCGAAAGGCTTGGGCTCGGCAGTTGTACGTAGGGACCGTGTATGGGCGAGAAGGCGGCTCGAAGAAGGTATGCCGAGAGCCTATCGTCTTTACAGACAAAGACTCGCCTACGGGAGAAACTTCGCATCGCGACGCCCTAGTCATTGTTATGGATGTAAACAGAGTGGTCGTCCGGCGAATCCTGGTAGACACGGGGAGCAGCGTCAATATCCTATACCTCGAGACTTTCACCAAAATGGGATTGGCACGAGAACAACTGGCCTCAGTCAAGACGCCACTAGCCAGTTTCACAGGCGACTCCGAGGAAGCTGAGGGATCCATTATTCTACCCGTCGAGGTTGGTACCTATCCTGATGTGCAGAAGCTAGACATGAAATTCATTGTGGTCGATGTGGCATGCTCCCACAATGCAATCCTCGCCCGACCTGGTTTGGAAGATCTGGGAGCTTTGATCTCCGTCGAGTATCTCTGCTTAAAATTCCGCACACCGAGCGGAGTAGGTACAGTGCGTTGTGATAGGAGGGCCGCCCGCGACTGCTACCTGCAAGCTTGCAGGGGTATGGGCAAACGGGAGATGCAAGTTCATGAGATCACAAAGCGACCCCTGAAGAAGACGATGCCGCCTCGTCCCGAGCCGGCCGTGGAGCTGGAGGAAGTTGAGATTGATCCTGAGCGACCGGAAAGACGAGTGAGGATCGGAGTCGGCCTCCGAGAGGAGGTGCGAGAAGAGGTCATAAGAGTGCTTCGAGAAAACCAGTTGGTCTTCGCGTGGGGACCCGAAGTTATGCCCGGAGTAGACAGGTCTATCATCTCTCACCAGCTCGCCGTCGACCTTGGTCATCGACCTTTGATCCAGAAGAAGCGATGCCTGGCTAACAATCGAAGAGAGTTCGTAAAAAAGGAAGTAAATATGTTGTTGGCCGCTAGCCATATCTGGGAAGTCACGTATCTGGAATGGTTAGCTAATGTGGTACTCGTGCCAAAACCACCAGCCTGGCGGATGTGTGTAGATTACACCGACCTTAACAAAGCCTGCCCAAAGGACCCTTTTCCTTTGCCCAAGATTGACCAGTTGGTCGACGAGACGGCAGGGTCAGCGTTACTGAGTTTCATGGATGCCTTCCAAGGGTATCACCAAATTTACATGCACAAGGCCGATGAGGAGAATACGGCATTCCTAACCCCAGATGGCGTGTAATGCTACCAGATCATGCCCTTTGGACTCAAAAACGCGGGGGCCACGTATACATGAATGGTCGCCCGGCTGTTTCAGGATCTGTTGGGAAAATACATGGCGGCATACGTGGATGATATGCTGGTAAAGAGTCGGGAAGAGGTCAGTCACGCCGGGGACCTAGCCGACCGCTTCCAGGTAATGCTTAAGTATAATCTACGACTTAACCCCAAGAAATGTGCCTTTGCCGTACAACGGGGGGGGGGGGGGGGGAGTTCTTGGGATACATGGTAACCAAGAGGGGCATTAAGCCCAACCCCGAGAAGGTGCAGGCTATAATGGATATGCAGCCTCCCAACACCGTTAAGGATCTGCAACGACTGACCGGTCGACTGGCCGCCCGCCCTTTTTCGAGGTCATGAAGAAGAAAGAGGGTTTCGTGTGGACGACTGAGTGCCAGCAATCCTTTGAAGAGCTGAAAAGATACCTTTCCACACCTCCAGTGCTGTCCCCCCCCCCCCCCCCCCCAGGTCGGCGAACCTTTGTTTTTATATCTGGCGACGTCCCCTAATGCTGTGAGCTCAGTATTTGTCCAAGAGGAAGAACGGACCCAGCACCCGGTGTATTATGTGAGTTGTTCCCTGAAGTCGGCTAAAACTCGGTACACGCCTCTGGAGAAAATAGTTTATACCTTGGTGATCACAGTGCAAAAATTAGCACCTTACTTTCAGGCCCACACCGTTCGAGTCCTGACAGACCAACCTCTAGGAAGTGTGTTGCTAAATCCCATATCATCCGGACAACTCGTGAAATGGGCAATAGAGCTAACCCAATATGGAATCGAGTACCAGCCTCGCCCTTCGATTAAAAGCCAGGCCTTGGCCGACTTCTTGGTCGAGTGCACCGCGGGAGAAGATGACAAGATCTCGACCTCAGAGAAAGGCCCCGGCGAATGGTGGGAGATGCATGCGGATGGAGCAGCGAGTCGCCAGCACTGCGGCGGTGGAGTCATGCTGATCACACCCGAAGGGTTCAGGCTCTACTACGCTTTGAGTTACTTGTTTCAGACATCCAATAATGAGGCCGAGTACGAGGCAGTACTCGCCAAGACATTAGGGGCGGATCGCCTGCGGATCAAGACTGACTCGCGCCTGGTAGTAGGACAAGTGTCCGGAACCTGCGAAACCAAGAACGCCCGGATGGCTCAATACAAAGAGAAGACAGCGAAACTATTGAAGGGATTTGTGGCCTACGAGATAGAATACATCGCGTGGGCCGACAACATGGAGGCGGTTATACTATTGAATATCGCCTTGGAAGGCGTGCCAGACTATCTTGTGAGAATTTGCCAGAAGGAGGAATTGGTTCGACCCAACATAGAAGAAACAACCACTAAGATTCAACAAGTGACAACCCAGGAATGGGACCGTGACAAAAACCCAGAAATGTTTTGGATAGAAGACATTCATCGTTACAAAGAGAAGGGAGAACTGCCAGACGACCCCGCGGTCGCTGCCCGAGTCCGCCGCAAGGCTCCTTCATTCGAGATCATAGATGGGCAGTTGTATAAGCGATCATTCGGGGGTCCTTTCCTCAAGTGCTTGCTCAGAACGGAGGCGGAAATGATAATGGATGAAGCTCATCGTGGGATATGCGCGGCCCACCAAGGCGCACACACACTCGCCCGGAAGTTAGTCATTCAAGGCTACTATTGGCCTACTATGATGCGAGACTGCATAGAGTGGATAGCCAAATGCGTAGTCTGTCAAGCATTTGCCCAGAAAGATACACAGCCCGCTACCTTTTACACGCCAGTCACCACGGCCATCCCATTCGCAAAATGGGATATTGACCTGCTGGGTCCTCTACCGGTCACTCTCGGACGTCTAAAGTTCTGCATGGTAGCTATTGATTACTTCACCAAGTGGATTGAAGCCGAGCCGCTGGCCACCATCACTGAGTATCAATGTTGATGCTTTCTATGGAAGAAGGTGATTTGTCGTTTCGGGTTACCCGAACACATAGTCAGTGACAACGGTTGACAGTTCGACTGCCGACCATTTGCCGATTTTTGCCGACGACACAGCATACGACACACTAAAGTGTCGGTCGCCTACCCCCAGGCCAACGGGCAAGTTGAAAATGCAAACTGCACGATCGTGGACGGTATCCGGAAAAAGTTAGAAGACGTTGGAGGAAACTGGGCGGACGAACTTGACCGAGTCATATGGGCGTATCGGACCACCCAAAGATGGGCGACTGGTTAGAGCCCATTCTCTTTGGCATATGGCTTCGAAGCCAAGGTACATGTAGAGGTCGTCGAGCCCACTCACAGAGTCCGCAATTATTCGGATGAGGGAAACGAGGAAAGCCTCAGGATTGAGAAGAACTTCTTAGAAGAACGAAGGGAGGCCGCGTATACCCGCATGGTAGAGTATCAGCAGACTGTGAAGAGATATCGAGATCAATGAATTCGCCCACGAACCTTCCAAGTGGGCGACCTCATGCTGCGAGATCGACATGCTAGTCAACCCACGGAGGGGGGAAAGTTCGCTGTCAAGTGGGAGGGGCCCTATCGCATTGCCGCTGTGGTCCAAGCTGGCACATACAAGCTAGAAACCCTAGAAGGAAGGCCCATCGATCGGATCTGGAATGTAATCCACTTGAAGAGATATTATCAATGAAAGGTTAGTCACGTGTATTCGTTTAAAATTCGACTTTGAATAAAATGCCTACGGCTTTCCGCATACTGGCAACAGTTTCTGAGATAAAAAAAGCCTAAAAGGTCGCATTGACTGTGGGACTCGACGAGAAGAGATAGGAAACAAGGGCACTGACCCTTAGACGTTTCCGAGAAAAAGCCTATAGGAGTTGCCTCGTTTGAGAGAGTCGGCAAGAAAAGAGAGAGAAACTAGGGTTCCGACCCCAAGACGTTTCTGAGATACAAAAATCCTAAAGGGTCGCCTCGACTGAGGGACTTGGCGAGAAGAGATAAGAAACAAGGGCACTGACCCTTAGACGTTTCCGAGAAAATGCCTACAGGAGTCGCCTCGTTTGAGAGACTCGGCAAGAAAAGAGAGAGAAACTAGGGTTCCGACCCCAAGACGTTTCTGAGATAGAAAAAACCTAAAGGGTCGCCTTGACTGAGGGACTCGGCGAGAAGAGATAGGAAACAAGGGCACTGACCCTTAGACGTTTCCGAGAAAAAGCCTACAAGATTCGCCTCGTTTGAGAGACTCGGCAAGAAAAAAGAGAGAAACTAGGGTTCCGACCCCAAGACGTTTCTGAGATAGAAAAAGTCTAAAGGGTCGCCTCGACTGAGGGACTCGGCGAGAAGAGATAGGAAATAAGGGCACTGACCCTTAGACGTTTCTGAGAAAAAGCCTACAGGAGTCGCCTCGTTTGAGAGACTCGGCAAGAAAAGAGAGAGAAACTAGGGTTCCGACCCCAAGACGTTTCTGAGATAGAAAAAGCGTAAAGGGTCGCCTAGACTGAGGGACTTGGCGAGAAGAGATAGGAAACAAGGGCACGGACCCTTAGACGTTTCCGAGAAAAAGCCTATAAGAGTCGCCTCGTTTGAGAGACTCGGCAAGAAAAGAGAGAGAAACTAGGGTTCCGACCCCAAGACGTTTCTGAGATAGGAAAAACCTAAAAGGTCGCCTCGACTGAGGGACATGGCGAAAAGAGATAGGAAACCAGGGCACTAACCCTTAGACGTTTCCGGGGAAAAACTTATAGGAGTCGCCTCGACTGAGGGACTCGGCGGAAAGAGATAGGAAACCAGGGCACTGACCCTTAGACGTTTCCGGGGAAAAACCTATAGGAGTCGCCTCGATTGAGGGACTCGACGAGAAAAGAGAAAAACGAAAGGGCACTAACCCTAAAATAGCTTATAAGTAAGAAAGGGCCCAAGTGGTTGCCTCGACTGAGGGACTCGGCGAGTTAGAAAGGAGAAAGAAGGCCAGGGTATTGACCCTAACTTTTTTGAAGACGTCGGGTATTAGGAATCGCCTCGATGTAAGGACTCGGCAAAGGGAGTCTTAGTGCATAAACAGAAATTGCGTAAGTTTGAAGATTGCAAGAAGAGTTCCAAAGGAAGTTTTCATTCATAAAAGTCCCAAGGGGGACTAACCCTTACAAGATAAAAGTTCAGATTATAAAAAACCTAAGCTACGGGGGAAGGTACATCAGCGTCGACCTCCTCGACTCGCTCCTCTGCCGATGTTCCAGCTGGAGGAGTAGGCGAAGGGTCATCTGCTGAAGGCAGCGGCTAAGTCGGCACAACCGGATCTGCCACAGGAAGGGCCGCCAGAGAAGGATCAGTGGTCGCCACAGCCGCCTCAGGGACCGGCAGAAGGTCCAGCACCGGCTTGAAGCCCCAACCCTCAGGAGAGAAAGTTGGATCCCGGGCTAGAAGAATGCTGTGTATCTCCAGCTGCGCCTCACGGAAGCCCATGCGATAGTCGCGCTCGCCGAGATCCAACAGGTAATCGTCTCCCTCTGGAGTCGCCAGCCACTCTTTGGCCAGAGCCTCTCGACGACCTTCAACTGTCGACTTCACGTCCGCCTCAAAAGCAGCCGACTGCTTGTACTCAGCGACGGCGGTAGTCGCTGCGGCGGCGGCCTTATCTCGCTCCGTCTCCCACTGGCGAGTGACCCTCAGAAGCTCGGTCGTGTGGACCTCTCTCGCCTTGACGAAAACAGCTTGCTCTTCTCGGCGAGCCTCCTCCGACTAGTGCAGGTGATTGCTGGGGGCCTGCATTGTTTTCTTGAGTGCCTGCATACGCTTCCTCAGCTCCAACTGGAAAGTGAGGTTCTGGGAAAGAGACACGTTAGTAGAAAATCAAAATAACCAGAAGAAAATAAAGGGTAAAGAAGATAGCGAGAGCTCACTAGGGAAAACTGGCACAGAGAGGTCTCCAGGATGTACTCATCCTGCATCTGTGGACCGAGTAGTTGCCCTGCCATGTCTGGCGTCCTCCTTGAGCTCCAAACTCAGCCGGATCTTCTTGGAGGGAGGTGTG